CCTCACTACCTTGGGTTTCTTGGCGACCGCCTTCTTGGGAGTCTTGGGCTTTTTGGCTGCGGCCTTTGGCTTCTTCGCCTTCTTTGGTTTGTCGGCAGCCTTCTTCGGCTTGGCGGCCTTCGCGACCTTTAGGGTCTTCTTGACCTTGGGGGCCTTGGCGGCCTTCTCTCCGAGCTTGAAACTGCCAGATGCACCTTGGCCCTTGTTTCCGACGCGAACCAGAGAGCCATTTACAACATGTGAAACAAGTACTCTGATAGGATGCGAGCTTTTTAACGAGCTTCGTACTGACCACTGACAGAACGTATGTAATGTAAAAAGTAACTACTTAAATAGTTTATAGTTTAGTTTGACTGCCTTTATATATTTAAACCTATTTAACGGTAGCAACTTAAGCCTACTTTAAATGCTACACTTAAAGAAAAGGGATCCTTCGGTTTTGGAACAATTTCAAATTATGAGCTTTTTTTATGATGGTGAGGTGTTCATTCATAAAATATCGTATCCATCAATTTGTCAGTGCTGCCTATACTGTATAAAGCATGTTCCACACGTAAAGCAACATTTAATGAGAACTATGTGGGATCTTCCTCAAACTGTAGGCGAAAACGTATTTTTCCTTAAACAGGATGTACACAGTGCGTATTTTGTAAACCTTGAATTCGAGTGTAGCAGTTAGTAGGTTTCAAAACTATGCGGCAATTTAGAAACTTCTTTTAAAACCGAAAGATACCCTTTCTTTAAGTATCGCATTTAAAGAAGGCGTAATTTGCTACAAAACGAGAATAAGAAATAATTTTTTCGTTTATTTTTTCCGTAAGTATATTTGAATTTATAAAGGCAGTCAATATCAATGATAAATTGCATACTAACTAAGTAGCCACTTTTTACAGTACATACTTTTTGTTAGCGGTCAGAAAGAAGCTCCTTAAAAAGCCAGCATCCGATATTGACCGAAATTACTTCAGAATAGACTACATAATAATCAGCATTAAAACCTTACTCAATGCCGATAAGCGAAAGAGTATCAACATTTCGCATAGGTCGGCATGTTGCACGAATTCTGCCGCGTACCGTAGATGACGTCGATAAGACGATTACCACGCGGAATAAGTATAAACGTGGGAGACATGTTTGTTCGGCCTTTTTTGACACATATTGAGAATTCACTTGACCCATTTTTGAAAACGTCGGTGTTCTCGCTGGGATTTGAATTCACCACAGCAAGGGAAAGGCTTTGATACAGCCAACGGCCTAGCCATTTGACCCCACCAGTAGTCAGGAGTTTAGTCAAGATGTAGTAATTATTTAAGACCGTTAAATTTACCTTTGCAGCCCATTTTGTACCTTTTTATTTCCAAGTCTAAAAAACATCCACAATATATTTATTTTCGCTGCACTAAAACGTTGCCCTTTCGTCATTATTTCCATCGGCCAGCACACTGTTGGATTTTACGCTTTCTTCTCAGAGTTGGCCAGAAGCCCATACAAGTTTGAGAAATATGAAGTCAGTTGTGTTGTAATATTCGTGAGTCACATAGTGTAGCCGTCCTTTAACTTTCTGTAAAAAGTCGCATTTCTTAGTGAGACTTGTCATAAAATTATTTTCTGGTAACGAGCGCTTCTTAGTTCTTGTACTCGAGGAAGTTTGCTTTTCCCAATCATGTTTTTGTCCGATGTTTTTCCTGTAGACTATTTTGACAAAATCAGAATAACAGTCTACTGTGTTTGCGCATTTCAAAAGCCAAATGACAGCATTTTCGGTCCAGTTGACTTAAGATGCTTATGTCTATGTAGCATCCCTTGCGATTTCTATTTTTAGCGCCTAAGGATCTGTCAAAGCAACTCTTTAACCTCGAAATTCAAAAACTTTCCAGCTTGTTGGTTTTCATTCCATTTTGCTCATTTCATTGCTTTTTTATTATACGTTCGGCTATTTGCTTCAAATTTTGGCAGCAAATTCTGTTCTATGCAGGCGATAATTTTGTTTAAAAGTAACTGCTCAGTTCACATTCCCATGAATCATCCGTGACAACGTCCAGAAAAATAAGATTAACGTGGTAAATACATAAGTCAAGCATACCGCCAAGTATCTTGGATGATATATGTGTTTCAGATGCCTAAGTATGGAATAACTACACCGTTTTTTTCAGTCGTCAATCCACAGGCAGTGCTTCTACATCCAATTAGATTGTGCTTCATGTAAAATTTATGTTTGGTCTTTTCTGCCATAAGTTGTAAAAGACCTTCTATTTGGGCTAATAGGTCCAGCCGCATTCCTTCTAGTTTATAAGCAGCCACCTGTGACAGTTGGAATGATTGAAATGATTAATGTTTCAAAAGCCCGTTTTCAATTACGAATTCTTCTTGTACTCCTAAGACTGTGTTACGGTCGAGAATACGTCCGCATTCGGGTTTAGGGGAGGACCATACTCTTACGTTAATCAGATTCTTACAACGAATCCGTTTGAATACCTTATTGTTTCCTACTTCTCCTCAAAGACATTTGACTTTACCGTACAGAATGTGTAGAAAGTGTGTTACAGACTCCATCCTAGCAGAACTGAGACAGTTGTCCTAGAAGTTCCAAGCTTATAGTTTATCATTTTGAAAGAATATTTGGTAAGCATACGTTTGCTGTCCACACATCCTCGTCAGACTAGTAAATTTATATGGGAAAGAGATTGAGTAAATTATGGCGATGCTCGGTGGAGACCGGTAAAATATGTCTTAAAATGCAAGCGGATTGTGAGAGTAGGAGGCAGGGGAAAATAAGAATCAGTGAGTTCGTAAGCAGATAGGTTAGTCGTGCAAGGTTGAGGTACAAAATTTCATGCAGTTAATCACCCGTTGACTGCAGTAAACGCAGAACTTGTACAGGGTTATTGTGCGCGCAAAAGACATGTTGGCTTAACCAAATGGGAGTCTCTTTTGCTCTCTTTTGCTCGCCTCTGGTAGCAAATGTCCTTCCAGTTGATACTTAGGTAGGTACGCTTTGCATGCTTAGGTTAAAATTAATTATTATAAATCCAGTGTCCTTCTTTTGGAAAAAAATGTGTTAACAAGTCCATCATTTGAAAAGAAAAACTTACCTAGGGAACTTCAGTGTGCAAGTCGTTTGGTTTTCTGAAAGCTACATAAGGGATGTGGTTGTTTGCATTCAGGTGGAAAATGTTTTGCGCATTTAACCCCGAAAATGAATCTTGTAATATGGACGCTTGTCTGATCTTTGCAAACGCCAACAAATAACTTGGGCAGGAGGACCTTCGAAGAATATAAACGGGCCTCGCACCACAGCGCAGACGTTATCCTCCTTCTAAGAGTCACCATCGTGCGTACTCGTGACGCACCTTGTGTCAAGTTGGGACTCGGGCATACAAGGCAGAAAAGGTAAACCATTTAATTGGGGAAGCCTGGCTGTCTGCCCGTCTCAAGCCTCCTTAAGTTAATTGGTGTTTATACACCAATCGGTCGCGCTAATCGATCGGCTGCGGGGAACGCTAGCACAGGACGCGCCGTGC